TCTTGAACTCTTTCCATTTCTTTTTATGTTAACATGCCTTATATCTCTCAGCCATTGACATAACCTCCTTTGGGATACTCTGAATTTATAAAATGTTAATAGTGTCCTGAGTTATTTGTACATATTAATAGTATTCTGAGTTATTTCTGCAGTATGCTAAAATGCCTCCAAATCATTTGAGATAATCTGCACAGTTGGTTACATCTTTCAAACAGAAATGTATTTCTAGCCGGGCTTGGTGGCTCAACCTATAATCCCGCTCCTTGGGAGGCTGAGGTGAGTGAATTGCCTGAGCCCACGGGTTTGAGACCTGCCTGGGCAACTTTGTGAGACCTCATCTCTACAACAAATCAAAAAATTAGCTGGGTGTGGTAGTGCGCTCCTGTAGTTCTAGCTACTTGGAAGGCTGAGGCGGAAGGATTGCCTGAGCCCAGCAGGTCGAGGCTGCGGTGACCGGGAGCGGCCACTGCACTCTAATCTGGGTGACAGAGTGAGACTCCAACTCAAAAAAAAAAAGAAATGTATTTCTGCCTATTAAACGTTAAATTCATCTTCAGGCTTATAAAACTAGTCCTTCAGCTGCTTCTTCATACCCTTAATGTGCCTTTATCTGGTATCATTTTTTACATATTCTTCCTTTCCTCTGGGCCTAAGTATGGTCCCCTGTAGGAACATTTACTGAATGGTCTATAGCTCCCCACTGCGCCCCACTGCTTTCTTTCTCAGTGGGACTTTCATTGCTAGCCCCCATTAAGTTAGGTTCCCCAGCTATATTTTCCCATAGCTCCTTATCTTTGCCATGCTGTAGTCCTCATAGCATGTTTTAAAAATTGTTGAATATCCATCTTCCCTGATAATCAGCATGCCCCAGTACGTGACCATGACTGAAACACTGGAAGGGGGTAGTAAGTAAAAGAAAATTTCTTTTTTTTTTTTTTTGAGTTAGAGTCTCACTCTGTCACCCAGACTGGAGTGCAGTGGCTGCTTCCAGCCACCGCAGCCTCGACCTGCTGAGCTCTGACGATCCTTCCACCTCAGCCTTCCAAGTAACCGGAATTACAGGCATGCACTACCACGCCCAGCTGATTTTTTGATTTGTTGTAAAGATGAGGTCTCGCTGCCCAGGTGGGTCTCGAACCCGCAGGCTCAGGCAATCCACTCACCTCAGCCTCCCAAAGGCGTGGGATTACAGACTGAGCCACCGAGCCTGGCTTTTTTTTTTTTTTTTTTTTTTTGAGTTGGGGTCTCACTCTGTTGCCCAGGCTAGAGTGCAGTGGCACACTCCCATCCACCGCAGCCTCAACCTGCTGAGCTCAGGCAATCCTTCTGCCTTGGCCTTCCAAGTAGCTGTAACTATAGGTGAGTGCTACCACGCCCAGCTAATTTTTGATTTTTTTTATTGTAGAGACAAGGTCTCGCCAAGTTGTTCGGGCTGGTCTCGAACCTGTGAACTCAGGCAATCCACGGGCCTCGGCCTCCCAAAGTGCTGGTATTACAGGGTGAGCCACCGGACCCGGCCCACTTGGTGTTTTTCTATTAGAGCAGACAATGTGGTCTCATTTTCTTCCTCCCACACTAATAATATGTAATTTATTGTCCAGTCTGTGGACTACTGTGAAAGCACTTCACACATTCTCTTTCTATGTAGCGCCAGCTGATACTTTTTAATGCATGTCTCAATATATATTTCTCTTATTTTTTTGCGTAATTTGAATAGAAAACTTCAAGGAAACGTACATTTTTTAAAAAACTGAACTGACATAAGTTTGTCCTGAATATAATCACCAGCAATCTCATTATGAGGGGGACATTGGAGTGGTTTGCTAGATTTACAGTGTCCCCTCAAAGGGGACATCGAGTGCAAAGGGTTAAGATTTAGGGTTATTCAAACAGATTTGGAGTCTAAGTCTACAGTTGTTTAAACAGTATATGGGGGTATATGATAATAGTATTTTTAAGAGGAAAAAAGGTTTTCTCTCATACTCATGCCAATTTGGACAATTTGTCAGCAATGTTTTCAGAGTAACCCTGAGTACAGAGTATAATTTTGTATGCTTATGTTTCTTGAGACACTAAGTGTGAAACTAAATATGTTTGTTTCCCTCCAAATTGCCTTTTTCATTTCCTTTCTTGGTTGTGTATATTGCTGTATTATAGTGGTAAAGTAGTCTAGAATTTTGTCTGAAAAATAACATATGTCATTCTACTTCAGATTTTACTACTGAATCTACTACTACGTTCTACTGCTAGATTTCCTTGCCCCTTCTCAAGAACATGATTTGGCAGCTCCCCCCCGCCGCATCCTTATCTGCCTATAAACATGCTTTTATTCTGTTGGAAAAGTACCCCACTTCACCTTACTTTTCTGTGTAGCTACTGTTACTTACCTCCTTCCTTTTATGACAGGACTCCTGGAAAGAAGTAGCTGTACTCACTGCCTGCAAGCTCTTACTCCTTCATGCATCCCTCGCATTCACGCTTTTGCCCCCAACCAGATTCAGAGGTGAGATTCAGAGGTGAGTTCTTAGCTTCCCTCATCCTTCAGCTGTTGCCTGCATATTTATTTATTTATTTATTTATTTATTTATTGAGTTGGAGTCTCACTGTCGCCCAGGCTGGAGGGCAGTGGCACGCTCCCGGCCACCGCAGCCTCGACCTGCTGGGCTCCGGCGATCCTTCCGCCTCAGCCTTCCAAGTAGCTGGAACCACAGGCAAGCGCTACCACGCCCAGCTGATTTTTTTTTGGATTTATTGTAGAGATGAGGTCTCGCTGCCCAGACGGGTCTCGAACCCGTGGGCTCAGGCAATCCACTCACCTCAGCCTCCCAAAGGCACGGGATTTCAGGCTGAGCCACCGAGCCCGGCTGCCAGCATATTTAACACAGCTCTTTCCTTCGTGAAACACTTGCACCACTTGGCTTCAAGAACTCTATGCTTTTTATCTGTTCTCCTTTTTGACTACCCACAATCCCTTAGCGATCTCATCCAGTATCCAGGCTTTACATTCCACCTCCATGCTGAGGATGCCCACATTTATGCCTCACAGCCTCGGCCTCTTCCATGAATTCCATTCTAGTGCTTCCAGCTGCCTGCACAACTTCTCTACTGGAGAACTCAAGGTCGGCAATGGTGACGAGGCTTTGAGAACTGGGGGTTTCTGGGGAAGTGGAGTGTTGGGGGCATCCTGCAGATGAAGGTGAGGAAGTCTGGGTGGCTGAGTCTTACACTGCCCTGATAGCTGCACACCTCTAAATCTGCAACCTCCTTTTCCCACTTTGCTTTTATTTTTCTCCTTAGCACTTATTACTAGGTAATATACTGTATAATTTATTTGTGTGTGTTTTCTTCACTAGCTCTGATTTATGAACTGTTGTATACCAAGGGCCTAAAACATATCTGGCACAGAATAGGAACTCTGTAAATGTTTGTTGAATGAATTTAGACTTACAAAGGGAAAGAGCTTATCTTCTCTGTGATGTCCTGTTTAAGTCTGTCGCACAGGAACAAAGTTACACGAGGAATGTGGTTATTTTATTTTATTTTATTTTATTTTTTTGAGTTGGACTCTCACTTTTGAGTTGGACTCTCGACTGGAGTGCAGTGGCCGCTTCTGGCCACCGCAGCCTTGACCTGCTGGGCTCCAGCGATCCTTCCACCTCAGCCTTCCAAGTAGCTGGAATTACAGGCACACGCTACCACACCTGGCTAATTTTTTGATTTGTTGTAGAGATGAGGTCTCACCAACTTGCCCAGGCGGGTCTTGAACCCACGGGCTCAGGCAATCCACTCACCTTAGCCTCCCAAGGTGCAGGATTACAGGCTGAACCACCGAGCCTGGCTGAATGTGGTTATTTTAAAGTTTGATAACTCATACACGGCAGCTATTCTGTGCCATGAGCCAATGTAATGTTTATGGTTGAACATTGAACACAAATGATCCTCTATAGTATGGCATTTATTATTAGCTTAACCTTAGTTTTGATTTATTTTTGACTTAATTTTAACAAACATTTGTCAGGGTTCTCCTATCTGCCAGGCATGGTGCTAGGCAGTAGTGAATATATAGATGTCTTCAAGGAATTCTACAGGTTAGTAGAGTATGAATGTGAAACCAAAATACCACAAGTCATAATATAAATGCTAAAATAGTGATGTCACTGTTTTACCTCTAGGAGTGCAGATGAGGGGCTGCCTGATGGGTAGGGGTTAGAAGAGAGACAGGGAAGGTACAGGGGAAATGGTGCTAGGTAAAGCCATGGGTGATGGTGAATTTTGTTCTTGAATTAGGGAGAAAATGGGTTCCCCAGTTGGGCAAAGAAGTAATGCTGGACTAGGGCCAGAAGCAAGAAAGTGCTTAGTGTGGGTAATATCTGACATCAGTAGTGGCTGTGTGTGTATATGTATAATACTTTGAAGGTGTTTTAGCTCCCATAGTTCAGTTCAACTAATCTTGCATTTGTATAAGATCATTAGCAACTGAATGATTAGATAAGAAGGGATTTTAGGTTTTTGATTCACTCATCTTGGTTATTTTTAAGATTAAAGAAAAAAAAAGAGGTGTGGTGGCTCATGCCTGTAATCCCAGCACTTTGGGAGGTGGAGGTGAGATGATTGCCTGAGCCCAGGGGTTCGAGATCAGCCTGGGCAATTTGGCAAGACCCCATCTCTACAATAAATTAAAAAAAAATTAGCTGGGCATGGTGGTGTACGCCTATAGTTCCAGGTACTTAGAAGGCTGAGGTGGAAGGATCACTTGAGCCCAACAGTTCGGGGCTGCAGTGGCCATGAGCATGCCATTGCACTCCAGCCTGGGCAACAGAATGAGACTGTCACTCAAACACAAAAAGAAATGCAGCTTATACCCAACTGTTTTGCTGGTTAAAGTCTTTTATATATGAAATACTGCATGAATTTTCTTGTAGGGCTAAAGTTTAGGCTCATTTTGAGTAGAACATCTTACAGCTTTAATTAATATTTGTTGTTGACTATCTTTGTCTCCAGGTGTTGGAAATCAATCTCTCTTCTAGCTTTTACATTATTTAAGTATATTGTCATTGGACTAAAATGTTCCTGATGCCAACCTCTTCCGAGTTAAACAGTGGACAGGACTTCTTAACCCAGTGGATGGCCAATCCTTCTCGGGCTGGGGTCATATTAAATCGTGGATTTCCTGCTTTGGAAGCAGATGAAGAGAAGCAAGCAGCTGTAGATGTTTCTACCAGCTTTCCTGTTAAAGCCCCACATTTTTCTAGTAGCTTCAGCTTTATAAGTGAAGAAGATTCACTTCATGAAGAGCAGAAGTTGGAATCTAATAGTCCTTACACACTGCAGTCAGATAAATCAGAAACCCATGCAGTCTTTCCTTTAGTTAAAAAGGGACCACAAACAGCATGTCAGGGTGCTATTGCACTCCAGGAAGAGAACAAAAAGGATGTTGTCCCAGACCCTGCAAGTGAATTCAAAGTGACTTATAAGGACCCACTCTTTAAAAAACTTGAACAGGTACAGTAGAATTTGGCCTAATGTGTATTTGTGTTACCACAGGTGTCTGTTTATGTAGTAAAGTCATTTGTTGTAGGGTCTCCTGTTTCTTTTCCTTCATTTTGAATCCCCCAAATACCAGATTTTTGCCTTTTGTCTAATATGAAACATTAAAATGTGTTTAATGTATAAGCTGTAATCATGACACTTAAGCAAATTTTATATCTTCAACTTTCTACCTCATTTGGCAAAAGTTAGGAAAAGTTGATCAAGTATTGGGGAGAAATGTTGAGGTACTGATACCCATCCTATGTCATGAATCAAAGGATTTACACAACTTTCTATTTCTTATTTGTGGTAGGTGATATAATTTCCTTCATAAGAGTTGGACTTCAGAGTTTTGGAGGCAGATTTAGTTACTTAGGGATCTCTCTCAAACTTTTTTTATTTTTTTGATTTGGAGTCTCACTCCATCGCCCAGGCTGGAGTGCAGTGGCATGCTCAGGGCCATCCCAGCATCAACCTGCTGGGCTCCAGCAATCCTTCCACCTCAGCCTTCCAAGCACCCGGAACTAGAGGTGTGCGCTACTATGCCTGGGTAATTTATTTTAATTTATTGTAGAGATAAGACCAAGTTTCCTGGGCTGGTCTCGATCCCATGGACTCAGACAATTCACTGGCCTCGGCCTCCCAAAGTGCTGGGATTATAGGCTGAGCAATTGAACCCGGCCTCTCTCTTTTTTTATTTTTTTTTTTGAGTCAGAGTCTCACTCTGTCGCCCAGGCTGGAGTGCACTGGCACCACAACCTTGATCTGCTGGGCTCAGACAATCCTTCCGCCTCAGCCTTCCTGGTAGCTGGAACTACAGGCCCATGCTACCATGCCCGGCTAATTTTTTGATTTATTGTAGAGACGACGTCTCACCAAGTTGCCCAGGCTGATCTTGAGCCCCTGCGCTCAGGCAATCCTCTCGCCTCGGCCTCCCAAAGTACTGGGATTACAGGCTTGAGCCACCGCACCCGGCCTTCTCTCAAACTTTTTATCAGGGAAAATTTGAAGAGGGAGACAGGAGAGATTAAGATAAATGTAAGGAACAAGGGTTTCCCTGAAGAAAATGTAAAGTTGGTTCAGTAAAGTTAATTTTATGTTTAAAAAGCTGAAAGAAGTACAGCAGAAGAAGCAGGAACAACTGAAGAGGCAACAGTTAGAGCAGCTGCAAAGACTCATGGAAGAACATGAGAAGCTGCTCACCATGGCTTCTGGGCAGCACACACTTTCAGGTAAGCTTTGCTTACACAGGGTCTCATCTGTACAGTGACGTACGTTTCTTACGTGTGGTCGTCTGACATTCCTCTGTCATGTGGGAAATTCCAACCAGGCGGATACATGTGAAATGGAGGTGTCTTATAGCTGGGACAAGTAGGAGCTGTGGCATTCTGAAGTGTGCACGCCCTGCTTAAAGGCATTCACATTTATATATTTTTAAAAAACCATATAAACTCTAGAAGAAAAGCCAAATTTAGCCTAGAGCTACTGGTGTCCAGCCTTAGCCTGCTGAGTGGAAAACTGTTGGGTATGATAGGTAAATGTGTGTGGAAGTCAACTGAAGCACCATCCCAAAGATCCTTTCTTTGGTAGTTGATGACAGTATTTTGTTGTATGCTACATTAGTTAACAGAAAGTATCATGTGCTAATCAGGGAAAACTATTGAAAGGTGACCTGAATCAGTGGTTTGAATGTTTTTGACCACACTCCATAGTAACAAAAACATTTAAAATCATGACTCATGATGGTATAGAAGTTTCATATTATCAGTCCTTATTGGTGTGCCTGGCACATAGTAAGGATATTTTCTATTTTGTTTATCCTAATTCTGTGCCATTAAAAAAAAGTGCCAGGTACGACTGTTTGCATCTTTTTTTAATTTTAATTTTTTATTTTTTTGTAGAAACAGGGTCTTGCTATATTGTCCAGGCTGTCTTGAATTTCTGGGCTCAAGTGATCCTTCTGCCTTGGCCTCTCAAGGTGTGAGCTACCGTGCCCAGCTACTTGTTGCATCCAATGATAAAGTTTTTTTTTTTTGAGTTGGAGTCTCCCTCTGTCGCCCAGGCTGGAGTACAATGGTATGCTTATGGCCACCGCAGCCTTGACCTGCTAGGTTCAGGCGATCCTTTCGCCTCAGCCTTCCAAGTAGCTGGAACTACAGGTGTGTGCTATCACACCTGGCTAATTTTTCTTGATTTATTGTAGAGATGAGGTCTTGCCAGGTGGCCCAAGCTGGTCTTAAACTCATGAGCTCAGGCAGTGCTCTCACCTCAGCCTCCCAAAGTGCTGGGATTACAGGTGTGAGCCACCGTACCCAACTTGATGAGAAAGATTACTCATGGATTGTGTCCCGCAGTTTGAAAAACTGAGCTGGAGCAGTATGTTTACTTTTTGCTGCTACCTTTTAAGAGACACATTTTACTGATACAGGCAAGTCCGGTTCTGCCCAGAGGTGCCAGGCATTGAGAATATGAGGAAGAAAAGACATTGGCAAATGAGTGCAAAGTATGTCTGGGTGCAAGGATGTGGTGTGGTTGGTCATGAAAAATTGTATCAAGTGAAAAATGGTTTTAGAAACTTGGGTGTTTGTCATGGAGAAGATAGAAAACATCTTTTTTTTTTTTTTTTTTGAGTTGGAGTCACTCTATTGCCCAGACTGGAGTGCAGTGGCCGCTCCTGGCCACTGCAACCTGGACCTGCTAGGCTCCAGCAATCCTTCCGCCTCAGCCTTCCAAGTAGCTGGAACTACAGGCGTGCGCTACCACGCCCGGCTAATTTTTTGATTTATTGTAGAGATGAGGTCTCACCAAGTTGCTCAGGCGGGTCTCGAACCTACGGGCTCAGGCATTCCACTCACCTCAGCCTCCCAAAGGCGTGGGATTACAGACTGAGCCACTGAGCCCAGCTTTACATTTTTTTAATGTATGTATTTATTTTATTTTTTAGAGACAAGGTCTCACTCTCTTGTCTAGGCTGGTCTTGAACTCCTGGGTTCAAGCAGTCCTCTCTCCTTGGCCTCCCAAATTGCTAGGATTACAGGCGTGAGCCACCATGCTTGCCAGCATTCTTAAATTGTTGAGAACCCCAAGAACTTTTGTTATGTGAGTTAACTTATCAATACTTTACTGTATTAGTAATTAAATGTGATTGATGGTGATATTAATGTGTACCATTTTTTGAGACATTTAAAAACTATTCATTTAGGATAATAACAAACTGGTTGGTCATGATGGATCATGCTTGTAATCCCAGCACTTGAGGTGGAGGGTCACTTGAGTCCAGGAGTTCAAGATTAGCCCAGGCACAACATAAGAAGACTCTGCTTCTACCAAAAAATATAGGTGTGATGGTGTGTGCCTGTTATTCCAGCTGCTCTAGAGGCTGAGATGGGAAGGAGGATCACTTAAGCCTAAAAGAATTTGAGGCTGCAGTGAGCTATGAGCTAGGATTCATTGCACTCTAGCCTGGGTGACAGAGTGAGATCCTGTCTCTCCAAAAAAATATAAATCAATTACATTTTTTTTTTTTTTGAGTTGGAGTCTCACTCTATCGCCCAGATTGGAGTTCAGTGGCTGCTCCCGGCCACCGCAGCCTCGACCTGCTGGGCTCCGGTGATCCTTCTGCCTCAGCCTTCCAAGTAACTGGAATTACAGGTATGCGCTACCATGCCCGGTTGATTTTTTGATTTATTGTAGAGATGAGGTCTCGCTGCCCAGGCGGGTTTCGAACCTGCGGGCTCAGGCAATCCACTCACCTCAGCCTCCCAAAGGTGCGGGATTACAGGCTGAGCCACTGAGCCCGGCTACATTTTATCATAAATAAAATTTGTTTTTAAATTGTGGAGTCTTACTCTGTTGCTGCAGTACAGTGGCACAATCACAGCTCATTACAGTGTCAACCTCCTGGGCTCAGGGGATCCACCTCAGGTCTCCCAAGTAGTGCCACCACACCTGACTAGTTTTGCTGTGTTGCCTAGGCTGGTCTCAAACTCCTGGACTTAAGCAATCCTCTTGCCTCTGCCCTAAATGAAAAATCAGCTGGTTATGGTGGCTCACATCTATATTCTCAATGCTTTGGGAGGCTGAGGCAGAAGATTGCTTGAGCTCAGGAGTTTGAGACCAGCCTGAGCAAAACAACGAGATGCTGTCTCTACAGAAAATTAAAAGAAAGAAGTTAGAGCCGGGCTCGGTGGCTCAGCCTGTAATCCCGCGCCTTTGGGAGGCTGAGGTAAGTGAATTGCCTGAGCCCGCGGGTCCAAGACCCGCCTGGGCAGCAAGACCTCATCTCTACAATAATTCAAAAAATCAGCTGGGCATGGTAGCGCATGCCTGTAATTCCGGCTACTTGGAAGGCTGAAGTAGAAGGATCGCCGGAGCCCAGCAGGACGAGGCTGCGGTGGCCGGGAGCGGCCACTGCACTCCAGTCTGGACAATAGAGTGAGACTCCAACTCAAAAAAAAAAAAAAATAATAATAATAATAGCCTTTTCAGATAATGGTCCTTATTCTTCTTTGATATTGCATCTTTCCAAGTGGTCATTTATTAAAAGTTATTTGCAGTATGGAATCTAGGACCATATTAATGAAACTTTTGTTCTCTATTACATTAAAATACAATATTTAAAAATACTGAATATCTTGGCATTTTGAATAGTTTTTTTTATGACACATGCTCTGGTGCATGGTCATTTGGAAAATAGTGGTTCACTGAGTTATGCAGATCTTAAAAATGTTGACATAATTTATTATACAATATCAAAGAATGGCATTAATATCACCATCAATCATTATATATATATATATTTATTTTCTTTTTTGAGTTGGAGTCTTACTCTGTCACCCAGATTGGAGTGCAGTGGCCGCTCTCGGCCACTGCAGCCTCGACCTACTGGGCTCCGGCGATCCTTCTGCCTCAGCCTTCCAAGTAGCTGGAACTACAGGCGCGTGCTACCATGCCCGGCTCATTTTGATTTATTGTAGAGATGAGGTCTCGCCAAGTTGCCCAAGCGGGTCTCAAACTCACGGGCTCAGGCAGTTCACTCACCTCAGCCTCCCAAAGTGCTGGGATTACAGGCTGAGCCACCGAGCCCGGCTAATCATATCTTAACAGTCTTGAAGTACTGCTTAGTTGTCAAGCTCATGGTGTGGATATGAAACTTAGAGATGGGCAGGAAGAGAACTTTCTCTCTGTTTATTGGGTTATTTCAAAAGCAGAGACTTAAACAAAACAGACAAAAAGTAACACAGGAAATTTAGAAACGAAAAAAAAGGACAAAAGGAAAGTCACCACCCTACAATACCAACATTTAAAGGGTAATCTGCAGGGGGCCAGCCCCTGCAAGTTTTGGGGAGATTTAGGAGGTCCCTTGGAAGGTGTGGCAGTGTCAGCAATTATTCTGGAGAAATAAAGAGAAAGAAAGAGAAAAGGGGGGAGAAAGAAAGAGATTGGATTCTGTCTATCGCAGAAGCCGATTCTGTAGTAGGAATTGATATTGAAAGAAAGATGGAGGGATAGATATACAGAGAAAGAAAGAAAGTGGACAACTGTTCAGTGAAATGAGCAGAAGCCGTTTTATTGAAAGTTACAGCAGGTATTTATCCCCAAATTTTACCCAGACAGTCTCACAAGTCTTTCATGGGAACACAAAGCCAGGTGCAGGAGGGGCGTCCCCCACCCACCAGATGTTTTCTCAGGTATGAGGAAGGACAAACCCCAAGATTGTCTTATTGTTCCCTTTGCTAGTTAATGCTCTTCAAAAGCAGTGAAACAATCCCTACTAGCATCATGATGTTCGGATAATCAGTAATTTCTAAAGCTCATGCACACACAACACCCATGATGACTAACTTAAATTTTATTATCTTTCTATTCTATGCTAATACTACTTACACAATGCTATGGAAGCTCTTAATTATAGCTTAAACCAATTCCTAAAGAATGTGGCCCAGTCCAAGGTTCACAGTGGACCACTTTGGAACAATCTATTACAATCTCTTAACAAAATGGCTATTCTGAAGTCCTGTATAGCTATCCTAATTTCTCTGAAAGTTTCTCATTCCTAGTCCTGATATATAAAGCTGATCAGCAGCAGCAAAGCTTCTAAAAATAAAACCCAAATATAAACTGTAAATGTACTAAGGCCAAAACCACAATAGTAGAAAATGGAGACAATGAAATTTCTAAAGTTAACTGTATTCTTATTAAACCTCAGAATATCATGATTGATCATGCTTGAACTAACATGATTCCCTGACGTTAGCATGACCTATTCTACAGTACTTTCTATGAATAAAATAAATTCAATTTCTATAATAGGTAGAAAAACCCTACACTAACTGTAGCTATATCCGGCCTAAAGAATGCAGCCCAGTCCAAGGAACACGCTGGGCCCTCAGGAATGTGGCCCAGCCCAAACTTTGGCTGGGCCATTTCTGATAACTCTAGATAGTCATCTATACCATTGAAAAGCTGAAAACAGCTCTCCGTAATTATATACTAATTCTACAAATTTACTTTTAAATCTTATAAAGAGGCTTGTACCATATAAAAGGCTCCCAAATGTGACCTGAATTTGAATTATATCTAATACCTAAGCCGAAACCACAGTTTATGGGAAACAGGAACAATGGGTTTCTAGAGTGAGCCATGCCTGTCACAGTCACAGAGTCTTCAGCTTAGATCAGCAGAGTTCCTTTAGGTTACTTGCGCTGCATGGTAAAAGGAGGAGGAAAATGGGGTCAACGGCTCCCGAACACATCCTAGTGGTCTCGGGGTCCACGGCCCTCCCTGATCCCTAACGCTCAGTGGGCGTGGCCGGCTCCCAACAGTAATCTAAAGTGCAGGAACTAGTTATTGGGGAGTGCGCAGATCATTTGCATCACCATCTGCATTGGTGCTCTGTGTCTAACCACCAGTCGGAGGGCTGCAGCGTTGCCACCACCTACTGTTCTCATGAATGGGACAGGTGTTAGGTGGTGCCCACATAAAATTATGTGAAGGCTCCTTTGGAATTGTAAAGTGTCATGATTTTGTTAAACACCATTTCCAAATAAGGAGAAAAAATATTTTTTATCACCATGAAGACTTCGTGGGGTGAAGTCATTACTGGGCAGAGAAGAGAGACTGTTGAAAGAAGTCATCACCTTGTTACTTATCATAATTATAAGGTTTGCCCTCAGTGCCTGACATTCAGAGCCAGAAGCACAGATCGCCAGGAAATTCAACTACTGGAGAGAGAGCCACGCCCTTCTTACCATCCCATGTTTGCATAAATCAAACCCAAGAAAAATCACAGGCTTCCAGCATTTCATCCGATGAACAAAAGAACTTCTGTGGAACTACTCATCAAGATTTTGTCTTAGCTTCAAAAAGGACTTCTCCCAATTTGTTTTATGAGGCACAGCATCAAGAAGCCCCTGTGGAAAAAGATGATTCAAAGGAAGAAAACCATAACCATCCTACAGGTAAGTTACTATATTTCTCTCTTCTGTACTTAATTAACAGTGCTATGAAGTTGCTTTTTGCATTTTTGTTGTTAAATTTTTTTTAGAGATGAGTTCTTGCTATGTTGGCCAGGCTGAGGGACACCTGTGCTCAAGCGATCCTCCCACCTATGTCTCCTGAGTAACTGGGACTATACACTTGCACTACCATGCCAGCTCTTTGTGTGTGTGTGTGTGTGTGTGTGTGTGTGTTTTCCTGTCCCCTGTGTGTGTGTGTGTGTTTTCCTGTCCCCTGTAGTTTTATTTTATTTTTGAGTTGGGGTCTCACTCTGTCACCCAGGCTGGAGTGGTAGCACGATCACAGCTCACTGCAGCCTTGTCTTCCTGGACTAAAGCGATCCTCTTTCCTTGGCCTCTCAGGTAGTTGGGACTAAAGGTGTGCACCACCATACCCAGGCTAATTTTTTTTTTTTTGAGTTGGAGTCTCACTCTGTTGCCCAGACTGGCGTGCAGTGGCCGCTCCTGGCCACCGCAGCCTCGACCTGCTGGACTCCGGGGATCCTTCCGCCTCAGCCTTCCAAGTAGCTGAAACTACAGGCACACGCTACCACGCCCGGCTAATTTTTGATTTATGGTAGAGATGAGGTCTCACCAAGTTGCCCAGGTGGGTCTTGAACCCGTGGGCTCAGGCAATCCACTCACCTCAGCCTCCCAAAGGCATGGGATTACAGGCTGAGCCACCTAGCCTGGCTCAGGCTAATTTTTAATTTTTTTGTAGAGACAAGAACTCACTATGTAGCTTAGGCTGGTCTCAAACTCCTGGGCTCAAGCAATCCTCTCACCTTGACCTTCCAAAGTGCTGGGATAACAGGCATGAGCCACCATGCCCAGTCCCCTCTGCATGTGATTATAAGATCCATGGTGCATGACTGCTTAGCCTGGCTGAGACCCAGAGCTGGGCTAGGATTTTATTTTTCCAAGAGCAGTCGTAACACTCATGTCAACTTCAAACTATGCATGGTAGCATGGGGTCTTCAGAAAAGGGAGGCAGCACGTTCTGTATGTATCTTTTTTCTTTGTGAGCTTAGAAATAGTTGGAGGTTGGTTTAAGATGTGCTTGGTGGTAGTGTGGGACCTGATAGAAGATGTGAAATATGGGAAATAGATGGGTGTTATTACTCATAAAAGAAATACCCTAACCCACACACCCGGTTGTCTTCACTGTCTTCTGTATTCTCATACCCAGCACATTTCTGCCAGAGAACTGCTGGTGCTCTGTGGTGGGTGGTGCAAGCTCATGTGGCTCTCAGCATTTCCCGCCCTTTAAAGTCCTAGTCCTGCTCCCATCTCCCCTTTCCTTTGCACTGTTGTAATCATAGGAGATTATATAGTAATATAGAGTTCCTTTCCCACTCAACACAGAAAATTCTTTTTTTTTAACTTTTAATTTTTTAAAGATGTGGGGTACAAGTCAAGGTTAGGCATACAAATGTTCATTATGCAGGTGCCCTTGTGGATGAGGTGTAGAAAATTCTCATAGTACATTGTGTTGCCTTCATGACCATAATTTTAATGTTTGTCATTATGCTAGCTGTCAAATAATATACTTGCATTTAATGTTCTTTGTGGTAGAACATGGTTGTGTCCAATGCTTTTAAAATTTATTTTTATTTTTATTTTTAATGGTGAATGTGCTCTTTTGAATGATTTAAGTTACAGAAAAATACACATACACAGGTAGCTCATGCCTGTAATCCCAGCACTTTGGGAGGCCGAGGCTGGAGGATTGCTTGAGGCCAGGAGTTTGAGACTAGCCTGGGCAAAATTGCGAGGCCCTGTCTCTACCAAAAAAAAATTAGCTGGGCATGATGTGGTGCACATATGTAGTTCTGGCTACTGAGGAGGCTAAGGCAGACTGGACTTGAGCCCAGGAGTTGGAGACTGTATTGAGCTATGATGGTGTGACTATACTCCAGCCTGGGCAACAGAGCAAGACCGTGTCTCTTAAAATAAGAAGAAAAATACAAATAACATAGCAAAAGTTGCTATATTTACTGTTTAAGACTGAACACATATGTACATAATGCCTTATTCCTAATTTAGAGTTAATCCCTTGGTACCAAGAACTCAAGTATGTTTTTCTTCTTTTTAAATACAATATGCTTCCCTAACCTTTTATTTTAGAAAACTCGAAAAATCCAGAAAAGTTGAAAGACCACTGCAGTGATTACAAATATATAAATATAGCCGGGCTCGGTGGCTCAGCCTGTAATTCTGGGCTTTGGGAGGCTGAGGCGAGTGGATTGCCTGAGCCTGCGGGTTCGCGACCCGCCTGGGCAACTTGGCGAGACCTCATCTTTACAATAAATCAAAAATCAGCCAGGCGTGGTAGTGTGCGCCTGAAGTTCCAGCTACTTGGAAGGCTGAGGTGGAAGGATCGCTGGAGCGCAGCAGGTCAAGGCTGCGGTGGCCGGGATCGGCCACTGCACTCCAGTCTGGGTGACAGAGTGAGACTCCAACTCAAAAAAAAAAAGCATATACTGCCACCTAGATTTAGTGGTCACTATTTTGCCATATTTACTTGTCAGTATATGTGTGTATGTGTATATATATGTGTATCTATCTTTATTTATTTATTTATTTTAGAGTCAGAGTCTCACTCCTTTGCCCAGGCTGCAGTGCAGTGGCATGCACACTCATGCCTACGCCAGTGCTGACCTTCTGGGCTCCCACAATCCTTCCACCTCAGCCTTCTTAGTATCCGAACTACAGACGCCTGCTACCACACCTGGCTATTTTTAATTTTATTGTAGAGACGAGGTCTCGCCAAGTTGCCCAGGCTGGTCTCGAACTCGTGGTCTCAGGCAATCTACTCTCCTCGCCCTCCCAAAATGCTGGGATTACAGGCTGAGTCACTGAGCCTGGCCTATATTTATATTTGTATCTTATAATTTTCTGAACTATTTCGAAAGTAATATGCAGGCATCATGTTACTTCATTCCAAATATTTCCGTATACATCAAGTGAAAATTAAGACATTCGCCGGGCGCTGTGGCTCATATCTGTAATCCCAGCACTTTGGGAGGCAGAAGGGAGAGGATTGCCTGAGCTCAGGGGTTTGAGACCAGTCTGAGCAACATGGCGAGACCTTGTCTCTACAATAAATCACAAAATTAGCTGGATGTGGTGGCATGTGCCTGTGGTTCCAACTACAGGAAGGTTGAGGTGGAAGGATCACCTGAGCCCAGTAGGTCAAGGCTGCAGTGGCCATGAGCGTGACACTGCACTCCAGCCTGGGTGACAGAGTGAGACTCCAACTCAAAAAAAAAAAAAAAAAGACAATTAGGACATTCATTTATGTAACCACCATGCCATTATTATATCTAAAGAAATTGACAATAATTCCTTAATATACAGGTTCATTTTGGAATTCCCCCATTATCATCAAAATGTCTTTTAAACATTTTTTTAAAAAAATCAGAATCCAGCCAAATACATGCATTGTGTTTGTTATAACTCTTTAGTCTTTTTTATGTTAGAAAAGCCCATATTTTTTTCCATGATGTTGGCCTTTTGAAGAATGTCAAGTGTCTTAATTGGGGTTATTTAAGAAGTCCTTGAGCATTCTAAAATATTTGGCATGCATTACTTTTAGTTAAAAATATTTTTAGCATAGTAATTTATAAAATTCTCATGTTTTAAGACTTTAATTTGCCATTTTTGAACTAAATTGTTTGTAATTTTTATTCTAGGAGAAGGTGTTTTATCATGTTGGGAGAAAATGGCGGAACACATTCAGGAAGGGAATGATATGAACTTAAAAAAAATTGGTGATTCCTCAGAAGTGGTTAATATTGAAGAAAGGTATTGTTCATGTTGAAAGGGATAAGAAATGTGACAGTTAAATGTACTAGCTAGCCTTTATTATGGAGTACTTTCTTTGTTTGAAGAGCTATACTTGTTTTCACTTGAATATGCTTTTAAGTGTGAGGTTGAAGATGCAACTTATCACATACTGTTGACAACAGCAAGGTTGAGAAGACTTATCACGGTAGCTTTGACACTGTGAGCAAAGTGTTTTGTTTTGTTTTTTTGAGTTGGAGTCTCACTCTGTCGCCCAGACTGGAGTGCAGTGGCACGCTTCCGGGTACTGCAGCCTCGACCTGCTGGACTCCGGCGATCCCTCCGCCTCAGCTTTCCAAGTAGCCGGAACTACAGGCGTGTGCTCCCATGCCCAGCTAATATTTGATTTACTGTAGAGACGAGGTCTCACCAAGTTACCTGGGCTGGTTTTGAACCCATGGGCTCAAGCAGTCCACTCGCCTTGGCCTCCCAAAGTGCTGGGATTACAGGCTGAGCCACTGAACCTGGCCATGAACAAAGAGAAACATCTGGATAAAATTAATCTTCTCTCAAATTGTTAAATCCTATTTTGGAGAAGAGAAAAGTATTGGCATCTCGCATTTGGTGTCACTTATCAATTGTAATTACATGATTAGTTTAGCTATAGAATTTTAAAATGTTATGGGAAAGATAAAGTATTTTACCTTTAATAGGTTGTTTATTATTTTCTTATATATTTGAAAATTTTTAATGTGTGTTATAGTATGGGCAAAATGATTTTTCTGATTATTACTCTATTCACATTGTTAGTTAAGGACCTTTCTTAATTAAAAATGCATATTTAAAGACCTGTTTTGGAAATATATTTTAAAGTTAAATGATGAATATATTACTCTGTTAGTCTACAGTCAGTAGATAGACTTCAGAGGGTTCTTGAGGACTCCTAAGTCATATGCAGAGTGTTGTACAGTTTCTGTATTTTAGGGGGTGGAGAGGGATTGTAACTTTATTAGATTCTTCAAGGAAGTTCCAGACTTTGAAAAAGACTAGTTCTCATTGTAGTCAAGGGTGTCCATGTTACATTAAAGTGTAAAGTATCCAAACATTATGATTTGCATGTTAAATAACTTTGTGTTTATGATTAGGCCTATTAAAGCTGCTATTAGAGAAAGGAAACAGACATTTGAAGACTATTTAGAAGAACAGATTCGGTTGGAAGAACAAGAACGGAAACAAAAACAGCTAAGGGTTAGCATTTGTAGTATTTTGATTAAGTGATTTTAAAGCTTTAGAGATTTATTTATGATTTGCTCTAAAAATAACTGGGAGATTACTTGGATATATCAGAATTAATTCAAATATTATTTTTATTTTAGGAAGCAGAAGGACCATTGCTAATTAAAGCAAAACCAAAACAACCATTTTTAAAACGAGGAGAAGGTTTAGCTAGATTTACTAATGGTAAATCTAAGTTTCAAAAAGGGAAAGAAAGCCAGAGCACTTCAGAAGACCAACCTCTGTTTAAAAGAGATAGATACCAATTCCAGCGGAAAACTGCTCTTGTACATAAAGAACTGTGTGCAGAGAACCCTGCTGTTACAAAGGACAGCAAAACTAGAACCAGGGACGGCTCTATCATCCTCAGGCAGAAGCCAAAGGTGCTTAAAAGTCATAATAGAAAAAGCCTCTCTCCATCGGGACTGAAAATGCAGACAGGGAAGAAATGCAACGGGCAACTAAGAGACCAGATCAGATTAGAAAAAGCAGTCGAATCTAATCATAAAGAAAATGTACCTGAGTGGCCAAAACCTTATGATACTGGTTGCAAAATGTGGAGTAAGACTCCAGGTAAAGACAGACTTCCTCTCTCGATGGGACTGGTCAGCTATGTGGCTTCCAAGAGCCCCATGAGGGAGACCGTGAAAGAGTTGGAATCTTCTCTTGACGTTTCTCTTCAGAGAAAGCTAGAGAATTGGGAACGAGAAAAGGAAAAGGAAAACTTGGAATTAGATGAATTTTTGTTTTTAGAACAAGCTGCTGATGAAATATCATTTTCTAGTAATTCCTCATTTGTACTGAAAATCTTAGAAAGGGATCAACAGATCATGAAAGATCACCAGATGTCTTCCACCCCTGTCAAAACTGTGCAGCAGGAAAGGGCAAATCCCGTGGATCCCCTTAGTCGGTGTAACTACACTGAGGATCTGGAGCATACTACGCGTGGGAAGAAGAGTGAGTGTGAGACCACACCCAAACAACTGGGTCCAGGCTCCTCACCTGATGGGCTGAGGGAAGAGTCTTGTGAAATCAGTAGGAAAGCCTTCCGGAAGAGCACGTCTGACCGTCCAGCTCGATGGAATGCAAGTGATGATGAAGGGGACGCAAATGGTGACAGTAGTACTGACTCTAAGGAACAGCTTGATAGTACTATCAAACCAGCAGCTGAGGAGGGAGCGGGGGGTTCCAGCAGCAGCGAGGATAGTCCACAGGTCTGCAGTGGCAAGGGGCCTTTTCGGGACACCAGGACTCAAGAAGCCGAAAGGAGAGATGTCGATCTGGATTTGTCTGATAAAGATTCTACTGGTGATGAGTCCATTGTCATAGAAAGCATGAAGCATAAAGGGTCTGAGTCCTCAAGAAGATCCTTATCTCTAAGCGTTAGTAATATTGACTTTGATGATGAAAGAACTTGGACTGACCTCGAAGAGCATTTGTGTAAATATGATGTTATTCCTGGGGATGAAGCCATTTACGGAATGCCCCAGACACACTATCCTAATCCGAGCGAAATGTGTGTCCTAGACAAAGCAATAAAAAGGAAGGTTGCACCAGTCAAGAAGGGGGAAGGCTTGAGCAAGTCCAGGAGGAGCAGAAGTCCTCCTCCTGCGTCGGAGCTGATGATGAAATTCTTCCCTTCTTTAAAACCAAAACCAAAACCAGATTCACACTTGGGAAATGAGCCCAAGTTAAACATAAGTCAAGACCAACCATCTGGTAAGTCAGAGCATTACAAAATATGTCTCAGAATATCATCAGTTTAACATCTGCTTTACCAGTAGGCTGTCAGAATGCCTAAAATCCTCTTTGCTTGTTGCTCAGTAGAAATAAAATTAATGGTTGATTTGTAAAATTGTGGGGATTTTTTTGTGGGTCTAAGTAATGTAATAGTGACTAGTATGAGAGATTCGGATGAATTGTACTTTCAGATTTTTCAAGCTTGTGTTTTAACTTTCCCAAGGCTTTAAAATTAGTTACTTTATTATAAAGTGAGATAAGCTGGGCTCAGTGGCTCAGCCTGTAATCCGCACCTTTGGGAGGTTGAGGTGAGTGGATTGCCTGAGCCCGCGGGTTCGAGACCCGCCTGGGCAGCGAGACCTCATCTCTACAATAAATCAAAAAATTTATTTTACCACGCTGGGCGTGGTAGCACATGCCTGTAATTCCGGCTACTTGGAAGGCTGAGGCAGAAGGATCGCCGGAGCCCAGCAGGTCGAGGCTGCGGTGGCCGGGAGCACTGCACTCCAATCTGGGCGACAGAGTGAGACTACAACTAAAAAAAAAAAAATAGATAACATTTAGGTTTCTAAGTTTTCCTTTCTTCTCCTGGTCCTAGTCCCCCTTCCTAGAGGTGCCAACATTACCATTTCACTTGTGTGTTCACAAATATAAAACGTGTGAGTGTGTATATAATTTCCTTTCTGTACAAATGAGAATGTGCTTTTTACAAATCATCCTGCACCTTGTTTATGATGATTTATTTTTTATTTTTTATAGAGACAAAGGTCTCACTATGCTCCCCAGGCTGTTCTCAAACACTTGAAAGTGCTGGGATTATAGGTGTGAGCCACCATACCTGGCCTGCTTATAAATTTTGAAGATTGTTCTAAAGCTTTTATACATCTGTCTCATTCTGTTTAATGGCTGTGTAGTATTCAGTTAATATGGTGGGCTTTTTAAGCTCACATTGGAAGACTGCTTTTCATTGTATTATAAGCTCTGAATGCTTAACAGAGCATAGGTGCTTTAAAATATAAATTTTAACTTAGTAATTTAAAAAAAAAAAATAATAATAATTATTTTTTTGAGTTGGAGCCTCACTCTGTCACCCAGGCTGAAGTGCAGTGGCATGCTCACAGCCACTGCAGACTTGACCTGCTGGTTCAGGTGATCCTTCCAAGTAGCTGGAACTATAGGTGTGCACCAGCATGCCCAGCTAATTTTTTGATTTATGTAGATATGAGGTCTTGCCATACTGCCCAGGCTGGTCTCGTACCCCTGGGCTCAGGCAATCCTCTCACCTCAGCCTCCCAAAGTGCTGGGATTAAAGGCGTGAGGCACTACGCCTGGCTATTTTTTTTTTAATTTAAATTTTTATTTTTTTAGAGATGGGGTCTTGCTCAAAAGTTTTTCCAGGTAAGCGCAGTGGCTCAAGCCTGTGGAATCTCAGCTCTTTGGGAGGCCGAGGCGAGAGGATTGCCTGAACCCAGGGCTTCGAGACCAGCCTGGGTAACATGGTGAGACCTGGTCTCTACAATAAATAAAAAAAAAAATTAGCTGGGCGTGGTAGCGCATGTCTTTAGTTCCAGCTACTTGGAAGACTGAGGCAGAAGGATTGCCTGAGCCCGGCAGGTTGAGGATGTGGTGGCCATGAGCAGCGTGTCACTGCATTCCAACCTGGGCAACAGAGTGAGACTCCGACTCAAAAAAAAAAAAAAAAAAAAGAAAAATTCCAGACTGGAGTGCAGTGGCGTGATCATAGCTCACAGTAACCTTGAACTCCTGGGTCAAATGATTTTCTCCCCTCAGCCACAGGCACCACCACACCCAACTAATTTTGTTCTTTTGTAGAGATATCTAGCTATGTTGCTAAGGCTGGCTTTGAACTTCTGGCCCCAAGCATCCTTCCCAACTCAGCTTCCCAAAGTGCTGAGACTACAGGTTTGAGCCACTGCACCTGGCCAAAATTCTGATTTTAAAACTAATTTTTTTACAGAAAGTTTAGAAATTTAAAAAGTATAGAAGCAAACATATTTATAACTAAACTATCCAAAGATAACTGCTGTGCCCTTTGGGGATATTTCCTTCAGTCTTTTTCCTGTGTACTTTTGGCATGATAGAGATGTGTGCTATAACTTGCCTCGTCCTTTTAGCTTTGTGATATTGAGATCAGATTTATTTTTCTAAGAGGGTAGTGCCCATTGATAAAATGTTTCAAATGAAGAACAGAAGCATTGACTATTTTATTTTGTAAATAGCAAGTTTGATAAGGGAATGATCTTAATTTACATTTTTAATAGTAGGTAGTAAACTTTGATTTTAAGCCGGGCTTGGAGGCTCAGCATGTAATCCCAGCGCTTTGGGAGGCTGAAGTGAGTGGATTGCCTGAGCCTGAGAGTTCAAGACCCGCCTGGGCAACTTGGCGAGACCTTATCTCTACAATAAATAAAAAATTAGCCGGGTGTGGTAGTGCACGCTTGTAGTTCCAGCTACTCGGAGGGCTGAGGCGGAGGGATCGCCGGAGCCCAGCAGGTCGAGGCTGCGGTGGCCAGGAGCGGCCACTGCCCTCCAGTCTGGGTGACAGAGTGAGACTCCAACTCAAAAAAATAAAATAATAAAATAAAATAAAAAACTTTGATTTTAGTTAGTTAGCCCTTTAGATCTCTTATGAATTATTTATTCATATTCGAAAGCTATTTTTATATATCAATCTTTTAAAAAATTGATTTGAATGATTTTTTTTTTTTTTTGAGTCGGAGTCTCACTCTTCGCCCAAGCTGGAGTGCAGTGGCACACATAGCCTTGACCTGTGAGGCTCAGACAATCCTTCTGCCTCAGCCTTCCAAGTAGCTGGAACTACAGGCACACGCCATGAAGCTCGGCTAATTTTTTGACTTACTGTAGAGATGAGGTCTCACCAAGTTGTTGGTCTTGAACTCATGGGCTCAGGCAATCCTCTCACCTTGGCTTCCCAAAGTGCTGGGATTATAGATGTGAGCCACCACGTCCGGCTGATTTTTTTTTTTGAGTCAGGGTCTTACTCTTGTCACCCAGACTGGAGTGCAGTGGCATGATTACGGCTCACCATAGCCTCAACCTCCTGGGCTCTGGTGGTCTTTCTGCCTCAGCCTCCCAAGTAACTGGGACTATAGGTGCATGCCACTATGCCTGGCTAATTTTTTAATTTTTTGTAGAGACAGGGTCTTGCTCTCTTCTCTAGACTTGTCTTGAACTCCTGGGCTCAAGCGACACTCCTGCCTTGACCTCCCAAAGGTGCTGGATTATAGGCTGGATTACTGCACCTGACCTTGAGTGATTCTTTTTATGTATCATACTGATTCCTCGTCAGGTTGATGTTCTTTTCAGGCAGAATAATTTAATTTTCTTACATTTAGACTAGTGTCCTCTGGAAAGTTAGGCCAATTTATTTTTTTTTCCTTTTTGTTACTTGAAGCATTGTTTCTAATGCTTTTTTTTTTTTCCCGAGTTGCAGTCTTACTCTGTCGCCCAGGCTGGAGTGCTGTGGCACACTCATAGCCACTCCAGCGTCAATGTGCTGGGCTCCGGCGATCCTTCCACCTCAACCTTCCAAGTAGCTGGAACTACAGGCGTGCCCTACCGCACCCAGTTAATTTTTTTTAATCTATTGTAGAGATGAGGTCTTGCCAAGTTGCCCGGGCTGGTCTCAAACTCGCAGGCTCAGGCAATCTACTCACCTCTAATGAATTTTAATGGCAAGGGCATTTGCCATTTTCTTGGCTCTTAGTGTTACTAGCTAACTAGTGTTTTTGCTGCTGTAAACCTTTTGTGAAGTTCATTATCTATTTTATAGGTGACAGTGCTCGATCCCAGGTTTTGAGAGAGAAAGTTATTGAATTAGAAACAGAAATAGAGAAATTTAAAGCTGAGAACAAATCTTTGGCTAAACTTCGCATTGAACGAGAAAGTGCCTTGGAAAAACTAAGGTAAGTTTGTGTCTGTAAGTTGGGAAAACATATATGTTGATTATGTCTGTCAGACTATATATGAACTATTTGAAGCAATTTTAATCAATCCAGTGAAAAGGAGGTGAGATCTGTATCATATAAGATTTTTTAATTAAGTAAATTACCCAGTGTAGTAAAAGACGTGTTAGAAGAGGAATTTGCTTAGTGGTAAGATCATAAATTAGATTAAAAAGCAATTTGTAACAGCGAATTCAGGTGGTACTTTGGCTAGCATATTTTCCTGGCTGCCGAAACAAAGCACCACAAAGTGGGTGGCTTAAAACAATAGAACTTTATTTATTCATGGTTCTAGAGGCCAGAAGTTCAAAGTCAAGGTATCAGCAGGGCCACACTGTCTCTTTTAGCTTCTGGTCGTTGCAGGCAACCTTTGGCATTTCTTGGCTTCCAGGTATACATCTCTTCAGTCTCTGTGTCTGTGGTCCATGTCCATCTTCCCTGTGTCTTGTGTCTTCATGGCATTCTCCTCTGTGTGTCTTCTTTCTTATAAGGACAGTGTCATACTGGCTTAAGGAACTACCCTACTCCAGTATAACCTCATCGTAACTTATATCTTAGTTACATTTGCAGAGACCCTGCTTCCAGTAAGTTCATGTTTACAGGGAGTAGGACTTATTGTTTTAGAGGATACAGCTCTACTACAGCAGTCAGCAGTATGGCATATGTGGTTTTCTACCTAGGTCATGATCTGACTTGACTTTCTTGGGTAGCAAAACCTGAACTAAACTTATAAGAGGCTATTATTGATTATTATTGATATATGTGTGTGTGTACATATATATTTATTTTATAGTTGTACTTATTGTGTAAAATGTGGACTTAAGTTCTGTTGTAGAAATGCTAATGCATTTTATCCCAGATACTGCCCTGGATTTGGCTGGGGATCTTATATAATATATAGAGTACACACTGTATTTCTTTCTTTTTTTGATTTGCTATTTGAATTTTTGAGATAAAATTCATACAACTTAAAATTAACCATTTTAAAGTATATAATTAAGTGGCCACCTCTATTTTCATAACTTTTTTTTTTTTTTTTTTGAGTTGGAGTCTCAC